CAGTTCCAGCCTTCCCCTGTTCAGCTATGGGGCTTCTGGGACATCTCAGATGCCTGCTGAGGAGTTTCTCAGCACATGCAACTAAAATTTTTCACTGAGCTGTTTATGACCAACAAGAAAAAGTGTATGACATACTTCTCATTGAGTAGACTCAAGGACCCACAAAAGATCCCTATCACCACATACACACCAGTTTTTAAACCCTAAAAAAAGACCTTGCAGTTTTCAGCTAAGATTTTTATGAAAGCCTATAAAACTCTTATGAAAATATTCTATGGAATGAACAATATTATTTTCAGAGCAATTCAGTGAGATACCACAGCTAGACCACTGGATTTCTAACTTAAGATTTTTCTTTTTTATCATCTGCATTTCCTAATGAACAAACCCTAACAGTTCTTCAGTCATCCACCAAGTCTTACAAGCATACATATAAGCTCAAAGACCTCTGGTATAAATATGTACGAATAAACATCACAGGTTCATGCTTCATATACACACAAAACCATCCAGGCCTTTCTTCAAAATAATTCCTTAAGTATACTGCTGATGAGACATACAATGGAATTAAAACTCCAAATTATACAGTCTATGTATTTCTATGCTGTTAGTTACAAATAATTTCTTCAGATACCTGAAGTCACAGATAATTCCCAACATGATACGTCTATTTCAACTCCAAAACCCAAACCTTTCCTTTTAAAGTTTAGTGGACAACATAGCATAAAACGACAGCACAGCACTTCAGAAACTAAAGTATCTAGCTTAAGCAAAGAAAATCCTAGGGAAAAAATCTCCAACAGTCAGTGCTCTCGAACACTTTTCATGCTCCCACTGGGACCAACATCAGAACCTTTTGCTTAAATCTAACATAGTCTCACAGTTCTCACTTGGCTGTGGAGTTACTTATTTCAAAGAGAACTGCACAAAATGTTCCTAATGCTAGAGTCACCTCCTTTTCCCCTTCTTTTTCAAAAAGATGTCTGAGTACAAAATTAAACTGATACTTTCTGCTTGCCCCATCTATCTAACACGCTATAATAACAATAATGAAAGTAGATGTCTTGAGTTTCAAAGACTAACTTTTATGATAAATAATATTATGAAATACTCTGCAAAGCTTAACAAGCTACTCTGACATCTCCACTTTTAATCATAATTTGACAACTGTGGTACTTCTAGTTGGCATTGAGCAAGGAAGGATGACTGGCACTTGAGGTCCTAGAGTGGATGTGAACAAATCTCCCCACTAATAGTTTAACAAAGGGGGTGAATTTGACTGGAATAGCTGATCAAATTGGTTAAGAATTCACTGATGCTGAGGCAAGTAGGAAAATCTAAGTAACTTCTGACTGCTCATACAAAGCTGATGTCATGTGGGAAGTCTCAAGGTCAAAAGGCCAGGGTATTGTTAATACTGTATTGTTACCTCCTCCAGGCCACGGACAGCTGGACAGAGGAGCAATCTCCCCAGATAAAATCTACTTGCAACTGTGGGTTGCCCTAAATTAGAAAACTGAGCTTTCATCTGACACCGCATACAGCTGGTGCATGCTGAAAGAAAAGGTTACAACGCGCAAAACACTGAAATCACATCTACATATGAGATTACACATTCATACAGCCAAGCAGACAGCTCTGAGAAGAAAATAAGCAGGTCAGGAATGCCATTATAGCAGGGTAGAGAAAAAGGTTG